ACAAGAGTTCACATTCCAATTATATACTCTTTCCCGTATGCTACATTACCTCCAATAGAGTGACTTAATGAAAATGGTTTTAGGAAGATTTTTATAGGTCAGATTGGGAAAGGAGAGCCTGGAGACAGGAAGACTAGTTGAGAGGCAACAGCTGTAATTAAGGCACGTAAGTTAGGGCAGCTGGTTGATTTATACGATTGAGAATGGATGACAACAGCCATCAGATAAAGCATTTCCAACATCTAATGATCCATTGAGTGGTACCCTGAGCTATTAACTGGTGACCAGAACCAGAATCTTTCCAGTCACAAAGCTATGAGATAAAAATAAAATTTACCTTATTACATTGTCTGATGTTAACAACACTATGTGGGGATCCAGCATCTCACTTGGATACCAGGCAGCATGCTTTAGAGTCAGAGAGGTAGAACTGGTGAAAAGTCTCTCAGCAATTGGAGTGGTGCTAAAACAAAGACAACAATTTTCCAAAACTGTGATGAATCATCTTCTAGGGAAAATCTATCTTAAACACTTTGCTCTTCTTTCCTTCTAATTTTTTTTAAATCTTGCTGAGAGAGCATTCCAAACATCCATTAATCAATATCAAAGAATCAAAATGAAAATATTTTCTAAACTGTAGAGTATTTTATACTGTACTTCACAAGTGATTTTAGACATAGGATTTTATTTGATCCTTGCAGTAACCTTCTAAGGAAACGGTACTGGGCGTATATTATCATTGTTATTGTGGAAATGAGGAAACAGATTTAGAAAGGAAGCATTTTAAAGGGGCCCAACCTGTAAGTTGTGGAGCTATATTCTTTTCAGGAGATCTTACAGACTCTCATTTTTCAGGATTTGTTGAAAAAGGGGGAAAAAAAGTTATACTTATGAGCAAACTGTCTGGCTCATGGGTAATAAGTGCTTTTAAAACATCTTATTTCAACCTTCTTGAAAAAACAGCCTGACTTCCAATGAGACAGCAATGTGATAACTTAAGTAGAATAAAAGTGCAATCACAAATGTATTATAAACACTATTATCACAAGATGCCAGTGTGCAGACCATCTGGAGTATTCTGATGATTCAATAGTAACAGAGTAAACACACCTTAAGAATTACCAGTCTTAAACAATTTTCTGCATGTATTGCAAATTATACAGATAAATACCAAACGGAAATATAACTTACCTACAATTCACTGTTGATTTTCCACCTTCAAATTCAGAATTCTTCCCCCATCTTTTAGGTAATTCTAATATCATAAGTCCTTTTATTCCTATAAGTGCTACATGATGTTCTGTTGGACTTAACAAGACTTGATAGATTTCAAACAGGGGTGGATTTATGCAAAGCAATCTCTGGAAATTAAAGCAAACTGGTCAAAATAGTTTATTTGTCAACTCTCCACCACTTCCTTCTGGTACTTTATACTCCAATCAGATTAACTTCCACTTCTGGGAAATCATGCTTTGTTGTGCCTCATGTCTTTGCACAGCTGTTCTTCCTGCAATGGTCTCATCTTCTTTTTTTAGCTGGCTAACATATTCTTGGAGACTCTGCTTCTATACACTTTTCTCCCAAGAAAATATCCCTGATCTTCTGGCCAGGAGTTAATGCATCTTTTCTGCACTCCTATAGCACACACTGGATAATTCTATTACAGTCCTTATCATATTTCCTTCTAATTACCCTTTTATTCGCTCATCCCACACAACTATGAATTATTTGAGATCTATGTCTTTCCTCTCTGTATCCTTAGCATAGTATACATGGCATACTGCTGACTGACTCTCAATATATGTTTTAGCGAACAGATAAAGAACTCAGAAGTACTAGTAAATGATAATTACTGTTATAAATAGTACTATAAGATAGAGAATGGCTTCAAAAGCTTCTGCAGCAAGTAAAATGCTGCTTTACCTAAGCAGATTTAATACAGAACAGTGATATTTTCACGGGGTTCTGTTAAGCTGTTAGTCTCGGCATCATTTGCCCTCAAAAATAATGCACTTCTTCCTATTCCTTCTCATGAGCATCTCAAATTGCCATTTTCTTTTCTAAGTTCAGTAATAAACCATGAGATTACCACTGTATTGCTTATTCTTATGTACAGAGAATCACCCTAAGCCAAAGATCTTTTTAGACAAGACTGTAGAATATGAGATTTCTATTAATTGTTACTAATGTCTGTAAGTTGGGGGTTTGGGGTTGGTTTGTTTTAGCTGCCTTTTGCTGATGCTAATCAAATTGGTTTTTTTCTCCTGTCAGAGATTCTTTCCCTCTTTTCCCTATCTTCTCAATCTTTTCCCTACTTGATTCTAACAGTCTATCTCAAAGGCCACCTTTCTTCAGCTATATATACAATCTAACTTAATCACCCTGGATTACTTAATCATTTGTGTTAATCACAGTACTTAAGAGTTTTTTGGTTTCACTTGATTTGGTTTTTTAAAGTCACTGCTCATGTTTTTGTTTCATTTAAAGTCACAACTCACACTAAACTGCTTTGTTTATCTCTGAGTTTCTGAGATTCTGGAGGATTGAGCGTCATTCAGACAGTCATCAATATTTACTGAGAGCTAATATGTTCCAGGCATGTTGAAGTACTGGGGATACAAAAATAAGTAAGGCAGACACAGCCCCTGCCTTGGTGCTTACAGTCTAGAAAATAATTCAGATAATAAACAAACGAGTATAAATAATTTAATGATGACTGTGCTAAATTCAGCATAGCAACATAGGGTGCTCTGGTAATACCGTGTGCTGAGCATCTGATAATTACTCTTATAAACTGAAATTTTGCCGTAAGTAGATTGTAGACTTGTGACCGACTTCCAAAACTGCACAAACACTGCTAGCACCTTATTAAATTCAAATCATTTCTCATCAACAAGAATCAAACAACGGCACACAATAGATGCCATGCATTAGAATGCGTGCCGCGTTTTTGGTTTTTGTTCTACATTTTTTAATGTCTAAAAGACGACAATGGGTTTATTACAAATAAGCACTTCCATAAAGTAGTGTTTGAGTACAAAAAGTCTGGAATTCTTTCGGATCACACCCACTTTCACATGCTGTTGGCTTATCAAAAACAAGCAAAAATTCCTTTCAGCTGTGGGGATGGCCTAATTTCTTAGAAGGGGAAAAGAATTAACAGTGAATTCCTCCTCCATGTCAGGCACGAAACTCGATGCTTTCAAATTTACCCCCCGACTTGATGCTCACAACAACCCCAAGAGAAAGTTAGGATTGTCTCTATTATGAGTGTGACATCAGGAGAAAGGTTTCTCAGGACCAACCTCCTAAAAATAGCAACTGCACCTCCACTCTCTATCCCCTTAACCCTGGTTTGTTTTTCTTCAGAGCACCTGACGTTTTAGTGTTATTCCATGGTCCGTCCCTTCCTCCCGGACTCCAAGAACTTAAGCACCTTGAGCGCGTTAGTTCCTATCACAGCACCCGGCACAGTGTCGGAGTCAATGAACGTTTGTCGAAAGAGTGAAACACAGAAAGAGAGCCTTGAAAAGGTTCTGTGGACATGTTCTAGCGGAATGGACATAAGGAGGAGGAGACTTTTCCACTCGAAGCTGGACGTCCCAAAGGACGTCTGCGTCCACTTAATAGCATCCCTCCCGGCAGACGAAAACTAGCCAGGACGGGAAACAAAAATGCTAGTTCATATCCCAGCTGAGGGTCATTTCCAAGACCAGCCTGGCCGTACCTGGTACTGGGAGAGGGAAGGCTCCTCACTGGCGCAGCTGAGGCCCCGAAGGCGCACGACTAAGAAGGAGCTGCCTTCTCCGTCCCACAGGAAGAGCTCTCCGCCGAGGCCTAAGACCAGGTTTCTCGTCAGCGACTGCGGCGGCAGCGGCGGCGACGACGAAGGCAATGAAGAAGAAGCCGGCTTCTCAGCTTCGGCTGGGCTCTGGTTTTTCAGTCCCTCCCGGAGCCTCAAGAACACAGCGTGGTTAGGCAGCCAGGTCTGCCACAGTTCGCCGTCGCCCGCGAGTCCTTCGGCGGCCGCCATCTTGGTCCAACACCTCTCCTTCGCCCAGTTGCTCAGCCCGCGGCTGAGCGCAGCCAATCCACGGCCAGCTGTCCACTGGCCAATCATCGAGCAGGTCTCCCTCAACCACGAGACAGAGCTAGGGGCGGGGCGAAGAGGAGGCCAGCCCATCAGGCAGCGACATGGACAGAGGACAGCCAATCACCAGTCAAACATTTACTCCGAAGCCAGTGGGGGCGGGACGAGAAAGTCAACAGACCAGCGCATGCTTAAAGCAAGCTTCAGGTTTGCGGGAAGTCTAGTACCTGGTCGGGGTAGCGGAGACCTGGGTATCTGATTGCTTATTGGACACCTCCACCTGGATAAACCTAGCCATCCAAAGCCTTCCCTCAAGACTGACCCCCCCCCCATCCAGGTTGGCTAAACCCCACAAATGCCAGTACTTCACTCACCCATCCTGGGGTTGTCCAAATTTGTCTCTTGTGTCGGGCTGGCCGGTAGGACAACGCTTGCCAGAATTCTCTGCGATCCCGTGTGGTCAGTCCCCGCTAGGAACTACAACTCCCAGGATTCTGCGCGGGCCCAGGGGGCGGGGCTTTCTGCTGCTGCTCCCGGGAAAAGACCATGGCAGAGCCGTCTCGGCACCGCTCGCTGTATAAACCGGTTGGCTCGCCGCCTTGGAAAGAGACGTTCAGGCAGGTGAGTGTGGGGTTTGGGAAGCCTTGGCCGGGCTATCGTCACTCCCCTAATCCGTCCTGGGAACCACTCTCTTCCGTGCCTTCCCTCAGCCGAGCCGGGTGAGGCAGGTACCGGTGGCGGTGGACCTGGAAGCCAGCCCCCTAGCCTGTGGGTCTGGGCCTCGGCCACCGCCTGACCTTCTCCCGGAGTCTCTGGACCGCTGGGTGTGGGATGAGCACGGGCCGGGCCGGGCCAGCCCAGGAAGGAAGTCTTCATTTTGGATTCGGGTTTGTTTCCTATGTGAAATGTGGTGACCGCACCTCTGCACCGTTACAGTACCACCACCACCACCTGCTGTTGTCGGGTCGGTGGGCACCCAGAGGGGCACCTTGTCTACGCACCGCATGCGAGAGAGACGTTATTTCTATTCCAGAGAGATGTAATTAGACATTATTTCTCATTCCGGAAATTATTTCTATTCCAAACTATTTCTTCGGAGCCTCTGTTACCAAGCATTGGCATTGTTGTACCTTACAGTCAGTTCTGACCTATTCTCAGCTCAGCCTGGTTCCTGTAAGTAACATGGCCTGTCTTTCTAGGGATCTCTGAAGTGATATATCCCAGGGGAATAATCTGATCCTGGAAATGACTGTCTACAGCAGTTTCTCCGCCTTGGCTCTTGACATTTTGAAGAAGATAGGTCTTTGTTGTGTTCGGCTGTTCTGGGGTTATAGGATGTTTAGCAGCGTCCCTGGCCTCTGCGTACTTAGTAGATTTCAATAGCCCTACAACTGAAGTTGTGACAACCAAAAATGTCTCCAGGCTTTGCCACATATTCCCTAGGGGGCAAGATTGCCCAAAGTTGAGAAACATACAGGAAGGTGGTTACCATAACTAAAGTAGCAAGAATTTGGAAGCATCTTAACTGTCTTGATAGCACAGTGGATGCTGAGCTGTCATCCAACCATTAAGGAAGCTGGCACAGAAGATCAGCTAGGAAACATGATCTGAAAATATATGCATTACAAGCACTGTAATTTCACCCACCTACATGTGGATAAGGACTGAAGAAGATGGTACCAAAATAGTAATAGTTAGGATTATATTTGAAATATGGTGTCTATAAATTTCCTTTAATGTTTTAACAACTAATCTAAGAGGGTTTTTGTTTTTTGTTTTTTGTTTTCCCTTTTCCTAATCTTTTTCTTCCAAGGGATGCCTAGAGAGAATGAGAAATAGCCGGGACAGGCTCCTGAACAAATACCGCCAGGCTGGAGGCAGTATGCCAGCGGGAGCTCAGAAAACCCTTCTAGTGCAGGAGGTGATGGAAGAAGAGTGGAACGCTTTGCAGTCGGTAGAGAGCTGGCCAGAGGCCTTGGCTCAGGTCAGCCTGGGATATGTGTTTTTAGGGACGGTGCTGAAGCATCTAGAATGCCTTGTGTCCTCCCTCTGTTTCCCCAAGTCCTCTAAACCCAGCCACCCTCCAGCCCCCAGTCAGGATTCTAACTGATTAGGGCCTTTACCTTTGACCCAGGTTCTTCTACCTTTAACGTGAGACTCATCTAGATTAGTTAATGGTTTTATAAACACCAAACTGTGGCCCTGCTGCACACTGCATCAAATCACTTATGAAACCAAAAAGGAAGAAATTTCACTCCTTGGCTCCACCTCTGGAAATTCTGATTCAGTAGGGATGGGCCAGGAACCTCTCTTTTAAAAAAAGGTCTCCAGGAGCTTTTGATCCTAATCTCAGCTGGAGTTGAGAGCTGGAGGTGGATAGGAAGCCATTTACCATGTATTAGGAAAAGCACTGGATTGGAGGTCAGTAGTTCTGGAATTCTGATCCCAGTTTTGCTATTGACCCTTAACTCTGCCTCTTAGAGCATTAGTTTTCACATTTCTAAGATGAAGAAGATAATGTCGTCAGTATGATGAGGACAGTGTAAGAAAACATGTGGGAAACTGCTTTGAAAACATCAAGGTTCTCTGTAATAAAGATGCATTATTTGTTGCTTTCTAGGTGTCCTACAGTAGGCCAGATGTTTGCGTTACATAATCACAATTAGTGCTTGCAATAACCCTCCCGGGTGGGTTCTATTCCCCCTTTACAGAAGCCCAAACTGAGGTTTACAGAGGTTAGGAACTTTCTAGCGGTCAGGTAGCTTTGGCAGAACCACACGTTTAGTTGCGCCCTATACTGTCTCTCCCAGATTTGGTGCCATTCTTTGTCACCAGCTGGTTTAATCTTTTGTTGATGCCTTCTCATCATGGCCACATTACCGCACTGTCAACACATTCTGCAGAAGGACTGGACTGTTTTCCTCAGTTAAATCTGGGTTCTTCAAGCCAGTCTCCAAGGATAAATCATTGTGGGTCTTGTCAGCTGATCATAACTTCATGCCTCTGATGACCCCACTTTCTCTTGCAGTTGGAGGAGCCGATGGACCTGGCTGTGCTGGAGGAAATCCAACAGGAGCTGATTGATCAAGGTGACCCCGGGAATAGTCCTTCCTCCCTGTATCTCCAGCTGCTCTAGTGCTGACCTTTTTTCTAAATGGAGTTAGTTCTTAGCTCCCTTTGCTCCCCTTCCTCTACTTCCATATTCAATCCAGCATCCAGAAGTCTCTGTTTTTACTCTCAAGTCTTGGCTGGCTGTCTTCCCAGTAATAAGAATCTTCAGTGTTGCCAAGCCTTGCGCTCAGACTTCTCATTCCGTGCTCTCATTTCCTCCTTACGTCTACCCTATGAGGCAGTGTGAGACGGAAGAGAGGGGCGTCTTACACAGATTGCACAGCTGGTGGGGGAGTTGGGAAGTGAGATCAATTTTGTGAATTCAGCCCCCATGTTCATTCTGTCTGACAATACTTCCCTATTAATAGATCAGTAGTAATCCTGTCACCTTACAGGGTAGTGAATGCTTAGATCTCTTGCACTGCCTAATTCAAATTCCTTCTCTGCTGTGCATTCTTTACTGACTCCCAAGAGTCTTGTGAGAATCCGCTTCCTGTGGCATCATAGCACCACGGAGCATGGCATTTAGCCCCTTGTATAGCTAAGTCAGTTATTGCACATAGCCTGCCCTTCCGGATTAGGCTTAGTTTTTATCACCTGTTAAATAGAGACAGTAGACCTACTCTATAAATCTGTTTGCAGGCTTAAACAATATGTGTAGAAGATGTAGAGCAGTGCCTGGTGTATAGACAGCTTTCAATAAATGAAGCTATTATCATGAGGATGGAAGAGCGTGGACTCTCGGGTCAGACTGCTGAAAGTCACTTCTCAGCTCTACCATTTTAACTTGTGTGGCACTGGGCAAGGCCATTAATCTCCCTGTGCTTCAGTTTCTTCATCTTTAAAATAAGGATAATAGTAGTAAAGAAGTTCAAATATGTAAAGGACTTAAACTAGCATTTGTCACATAGTAAGTGCTGTGCAGGTGCTAGTTGTTGTTATGATTGGTGTATTGACTCCAGCTAGACTGTAGATTTCTTGATTTCAATTCTCTTCTAAAAAAATTGATTTGTTTCGTAGCGTCAGAAGTAAGTGCTCTGTCAGCGTCAGCTTTCTCTAGCTGCCCCTGGGACCCCAACATTCTCCATCTCTGCCCCTCTAGCCTCCAGAGCTGTGTGTAGTTGTCTCCTTGTCTCTCGGTCCCAGCACTTCACAAGGGAAGGACAGATGGGAGGGAAGGAATCCAACAGGATGAGGCCTGACAGAGCAGTAAAGGTCTAGTGATGGGTACCATGACCTTGCGCGAATTTTGGAGGCATGGATGAAGCCTTTGAAGGTGAAGCTTAGCATCCAGGGCAGGGCAGTCCAGGTGACGTGGGGTGAAACACTCTGGCTGTCCTTTGCCTTGCAGAACAGTCCATCATCAGTGAGTACGAGAAGAGCTTGCAGTTTGATGAAGAGTGTCTCAGCATCATGCTGGCTGAGTGGGAAGCAAATCCCCTCATCTGTCCTGTGTGTACAAAGTAAGACTTTTCACAACATTTTCAGCATTATTTGTTCCCACCCCCCACTCCAAGGTGAGTGGACTCTCCCCTCAAATCTGTTGTCTGAGAAGATTTGGGGACCCAGGTCTGCTGGCCGTAATGCTCTGGAATCCCAATTCTGCTTCTAGGTACAACCTGAGAGTAACGAGCGGTGTGGTCGTGTGTCAGTGTGGCCTGTACCTCCCATCTCATGTGAGTGTTCCTCACACAGATCTGGTGTCACCTCTCCCCACATACAGCTGATCTCTTAAAGAACCTCCCGTGGTGCGCACATCTCTTCCCAACTTCTTGTTCAGTTCACATTGGTGGCTTGAAATCAGCCATGGTGAGAATATAGACAGTACAGAAATTGGCAAGCGCTACAAATCAGGGTGTTCCTGATCCCCTGCCCCCTCCCCGAGCCATTCGCAAAGCAGTTATTAATGTACTGCTGCTTAAGTTCTTTGTAGAGCCCAGTTTAGAGTTGGAAACACTTGTATCAGATCTTCCGTAAAAAGTTACCATATATGAAAACCCAGCTATGTTCAGAATTGCAGTGTCAGCGATTCAGTGCCCTTAAAATAACTGCAGCTCTCTTATCTGACATGTTGGGGACGGAAAGTTTGCCAGTTGGTTAAGTTGGTGAATTAAACAAATGAAATATTTTATAGTAAGTTTCAAACATATACATTTATTTGCCAAGCCTTGAGCAGGGCTCTGCTAGTTGGAGAGCTGAGGGATTTTTGTTTTGTTTTTACATAAACCACTCTTACAACGCATCGTCTAGTATTTCCAGTTTTGTTTCTGTAAAGTGCATCAAGAAGCTGAATGCACAACTTTAGAATTTTTCCTTCCTTGTACCTAATTCAACAGTTTTTTTTTTAAAAAAAAGCAACTCGTCTTTTTGAGTGTTTCCTAAACATTCCACTTATAAAAACAAAACTTTCGTTTTCATTCTCTTATTTCATTGGCTTACATAGTTCGTAGTTAAGTCGCCCAGTTACAGTATTAAGCGCAGTCAGTACAAGCAGGCGTGGGACCAAGCAGCGCTGGTAAGGCTTTAGTAAGGGCACATTTGGCTGGTGGGGGTAGACACGCGGCGAGGCTAGAAAGCCTCCCCGCCCTTAGCGTTCTGGGTGCTGTGAGCAGCAGGCAGTGTGTTTATGGCAGGAGTGGGGAGCCTTGGTTCCCCTGGAGAGGCGGCTAGATGGACATTGTTTTCTTCTTAGCACAGTCATGAGCCCAAGAGCATTTTTAAATGAAGAATCAATCCAGAATCAGGATTTTCAACCCGTTGACTAGGAGGTGACTAAGATTAGGTTGTAGTTCAACTTTTTTTAGTCTCCAGAGTTGACAGAGCAAAAGCTTCGCGCCTGTTTAGAAGACAGTGTGAATGAGCACAGTGCATGCTGTCCCCACACGCCAGCGTTTTCCATCACTGAAGGGACAGAAGAAAAGCCCAGTCTTCTCATGAGCTGTCCGGTAAGCCTCCCAGGGGACCCAGTGGTGCGAGCGGGTTAGTGGGTGGTTTTATTCCCACCACGGTAGAAATAGGTTAGACACAGGTTTTTAAAGGTTAGAGATGGTGACACACGGCCACAGGGACTTGGAATGTTTGAGACGGGAGGACAGTAGTCTTAGATGGAATGTGCTAGACCACCAGAAAGCCAAGCATATAACTACAAAGTGGAGTCAAGGCCTACATTTCTTAGGACAGTGATGCAGCTGAGCTGTCAGGGAATCGCGGGCCAGCTTTATACTGGGTGCCCACTGATCGTATGAGGGCCAAGGAAGGTAACAAACATTCCTTGCTTCTGCCTGTGGTGAGCATGCAGTTTATTCCTCCCTGTGACACATGCCCGTGAACCTCACTTCCCTGCCGGGCTACAAAAGCTGCCAGCTGTCAAGTTTGTCCTTCTGGTCACCGGTTCCCCGAGGGTGAGTCCTTCAGGGTTTGATCTCAGCTTGAGGACTACATTGCTGCTGCTGGTTTCCTAAGGCAGTGGTTTTGAGGCTGCAGGACAGAGGTGCAGCGGAGCTGAGACCAGGGCTCGCCCACGGCCTCTGTCACCACACCACTGAACCTGGTGCAGTGGTAACTGAACGTGACGTCGTCTCATAAGCAGTGTGAAGGTCATTACATTTTCACCATATGGAGATCATGTTCATGAGTGGAATGCAACTTAAGCTAACTTAAACTTCTGTTTAAATCCAGGCTTGTGACACTTGGGCTGTGATCCTCTAGGGCCCTCTTCTCACCATGTTCTATGGAGGAGCTGAACTTCCATCTGGAGAAGAGGCCTTGTAAATACAAACCTTTTATTTATAATTTATTTTGTATTAAAACTTTTCAGATGTCTCTGTTCTGTGTTTTGTAATGCAGGTTGAAGGGGAAGGAACAGAAATAGAAAAGACAAATCACCTTAGAGGAGATAAACCAATTTTACTGTCCATCATTATGTTATACAAAAATCTAGAAACAGGTCTGTAGAAGAAATAAATGAGAGGTCAATAAGAGGCAGGAAAAATAAGTTAAAATTGAATTATTTTCCATGATACTGGGATGAAAACCATTTCAAAGCATGTGGGTCTGGCTCCGGAGTAGGTTTTGCTGTTCACTGGCCGAAGCCTGCCATCAAATTACGGTGTTCGGCACCTTGTCACCTCTACTGGCTTTTGACAAAACCTTTGAGGTCCTCGAGGAAAGTGATGTACTCCCGGTGCTCCAGGGCTGTGCTGAGCTCCACCAACTCATCGGCGAAAGTGTTGTCCACGCCTCGGTCCGCAAGGAAATCCATTAGGTGGTCATATAAAGCCTGAAAGGAGACATTTACTAGTCAACATTTACCAGTTACAAAAAAAAAAAGACCACGTGTGACACTAAGATGCTTCTCTCTTCTTGGACTAGGACCCTTCCCTGCAAGGCCCAGGAGCAGCCACCCCACCTTACCAAGCACTCACCCAATCCAGGGAATCTGTGTTGAGTGTGTAATTTGTGTCCTTCCAGTCAGACTCTTCAGTGGGCTGAAAGCTCACTTCCTTGATGGAGAAAATGTCACTCTGGTCCTCCTCTTCTTGCCCAACCTAAGAGACAGCATTTGGGAAACTGAAGGGTTCTCTAGGACAAATCAGATTCATGCAAAGAAAAGGGACTATTTACAGCTCTGAACTCAGATTTTAACCTGTTCCTTCATCCCCTTCTGCTCTTACCCAGCTTTGCCGCTCTAAGCTAGGGAGGAGGGTCCCTGGAGGCCCTCCCTGTCCCCAGGGGTGCCAAGGGGTAGCACCCCATCCTACACACCTCGTCCTCTGGGTAGTGACAGTCCAGCACCAGGGCCTTCTTGCTGCCATCCTTTATCACTTCAACCACGAAATTGGGAGTGGACGTCAATTCAGGCTGGGGAAACAAGAACAAGTCATTTACACACCTTTGCTGGCAGCTCTCGGGGGCCTGGACCAAAGGTCTCAGACAGCTCAGGGCGTCTGACAGCCACTGGTTTAGGATATTTAGCCACTTTCCAAGTCTTAAGTTCTGCTACGGTGTTCCCAAATAAGGAGCCTAGGGTCTTGAGTGGAGAATCTAAGCCACATACCAGCTTGTTCCTGGAGACTGAGCTGAACTCATCCCGGTGACCCTTTCTAAAGTTACAGACTACGTTTTGGAGGGCGGCATCATATTTATTTTAGTACAGCATTTCACTTCTATTAGCACCCTACTTGTTTAAAGAACATACTAGGTTTAGAATTAGGAAAGCTGAACCCCAGCCCCAGCTATGTGCCAATTAACTTAATCTTCCTGGGCCAGGTTCTACACCCACACTCTGCAAAGCTACAAACACATACACTGCAAAGCTGGCCTAAAACTCTGAGATCTCTTTCCCACTGACTGTTTCTGCATCTTACAGCCCAGGACCAAAGCTGATGCCTCTGGTTAAAGGCTGTCCTGATGGCTGAATAATCACAGCAACCCTCTGATGGTGAGCCATCCAACGCCAGGGAGGTCCTAGTCCGGACGGCTAGGCCAGGACTCCAGGGAGCTGAGCTGTGCTTGGTCACGAGACAAAATCATGCCCACCCAGTCAGAAAGCGTGGTGATCAGTGGCCCTCATACTGGCCATCCAGGAACAACCAAGAGGGACAGCAACCTAAGGAGAGACTGCCAAAATCTGATGCCCCAGCTAGTGTTCATTACCAGCCTGTGACTTACGAGAGCACTCCTTCCTTGGAAACACTCCAAATGATCACCTCTAGTATTAAACATCTCCCGATCATGGGAAGGGCTCAATGTCAATTCCTTTCCAGTAGGTGAACAGAGGCCAAACTATAAAGTCTAAGCCTGCAGACAACAATTTACTTGGCCCCTGAGAAAGAAAAGGGGCCACACAGCTCTGATGGCCAGAAACTGGTGCTCTACAAGAAGGATGCAAGGATGGTTGTCTTTTGCCTTTTCTCTCTTAGCATTAAAGAACCAAAAAAACAACCCCCCTCCAAAATACCAAGAAACCCCACAAAAAAACCCCACCATCCAAAAAAACAATGCTCCTTCTCTAAGCCTCAGGAGGTACAGGCTGGTTACAGTTACAAAGTTACCTCCTGTTCTTCAACCTTCTGCCCTTGGGAGGGCTCTTCCTCTCCATCATATGGGGGTGGGATGCTGTTGTTAATGTTGAAAGTGACAGTGATCCTAAAAGGCAAAAGAAAACAGGGTGAAGTTTTAACTAAGCAGCTCAGTAAGGAGGCTTGTTACAGTTACAAGAGCTGATGAAACAATGTCTCTCAGCTGGCTTGACATCTGATTTGCAGAACTTTCAAAAAAGGCCAGCATCTGCAACCCCCCCAGAGATGGATTCAGCAGCTCTGAAGCGGGCCTCCTATGTGCTGGCTGCTGAAGTTCATTTGTAGGCAGGCCCTAGTTTCTCTCAGCCAAATACAGTCAGGTGTGGGCTGCTTCCATCAGACCAGCATCTAGGGTTCACTGCCAACATGTGTCCACTGGTTCCTTCCCAGCCACAGCCAGCTGACACTGTCACCCTAGTCCTTCCAGGGCACCTTCTGCTGGTGGTGAGCCAGAGAAGCTGGAGCAGTGGACAGAGGCCTCCTTTAAAGGGAGGCTTAAGAAACTTTTCTCCACTAGAAAATCTGCCCCTTTGAGGAAGGAAGGAGCGCAGCATCATCAGGAGGGTGTGGCATCAGCTGAGGATGGAGAGCAGCCCCGGCCCCGGGAAGGGGAGGCCTCATGAAGAACAATATGCTGCTGGACGGGCTCATCCTTCAGAGCAGCTGTGAGAAGTTCAATCGTCACAAAGCAGGCAGTGAACACCAACTAATGACAATTTTAAAGTGCAGGAATCTTCACCTGACATATCATTTTCCAAAGTCTGAATCAAAATGTCATGTGAGATTTGGAACAAGCATTGCTGGGCACTACTATCTGCAGACAACAGTACTCCTCTCTGGACCCATGCTAACTGGCTGCCTTGCCAGTCTGAGGTTTGAGATTCAGCCACAAAATTTGTCTAATCTGCAACAGTGCTGACCAAGCTGAGCTCCTGGGCACAGAAATGCAATTATGGTCATTACAGCAGTATCTATAATGGCCCTGAACTGGCTATGGCTTTACCCCAGGGAAGTAGTTTAAGTGAAGTTACAGAATCCACAATTGATCTATCATGGGAAGAACACTATACCACAAGGTGTAGAACCAGAACCAGAACCCTACTTCGTGGCATATACAAAAGTTATGCCACTTAACCAGGTCCCACTTTTCTATACCAGAACCCCACCCTGTTACTTACTTTGTTTTCTCAACTGTAAACATCAGAGAGTAGGGGCTTTGTTTTCCTCAGCCAGAGCCTGTAGTGAGTCAGCAGTGTAAAGTGAGACTCTGTCAGCACAGGAAGAATTTCTGAATTTGCCCGCTTAGATTTAGGCAAGGTAGATTTTCTGCATGGCACGGCCTCCCTCACTACTATAAGGGTTTCGTGAACAATGCCTCTGCTGGTCCAAGAGACTTCCAGCTACTCCGCTTCTACTTCCTTACCACCTCTGTATTAACCACCACAGCACATTAGTGTGCAGTGAATGAATGACCTGGAGCTTATGAAGTCACCCGAAGAATCCTCTCCCATCTCTTGGAAATCACATGTCAAAGTACCTGCCTTAACTAAAGGCTGTCCTGGGAAGACTCAGGGCAGGTCCCACAGGTTCATGGATTTGGTCCCCTGGAGCCCACAGGCCCCCAGTACTCACTTTTCTCCAGCAATTTTCCGCACTAATTTGGCTTCTGTCCCATTCACCTCCAGATCCCAACCTCCAGACATCTTGGGGAGAGACTTATACTTCTGAATCTTCTTTTCCTCCTTAATCTCATCACTGAGGAAGTCAACAAAAGCTTTGTCCCCTACAATGGAAATCAGCAAGTTACAGGAAAAGAAGAGCCAATCACTCTAAAGCACAAAAATGACCCATGTTAGTTACTGCAGCCAGAAATTGGGACGTGGACTGTTTCTAATACTATTAATGGTGACTCTGGGAACTTAGCCCAAATCATTCATATCCATTAAGCCTCCGTTTCCTCATCTGTAAAAATCAGCTAAGGTTATCAGTGGGAAGCTGAACTTGATTCTGGAAAAGTTTCCCAACAATGAACTCCTTACCACGTTTCAAAATAAAACAAAAGAATTCCCAATTACCCTCTTTCACTTGCCAACAAACAAGACCACGCTACTTCTAACCACGACCTTGGGCTTTCGCAAAGTTCCACTTTTGAGACACTGAGGATAAAGTCAGCCTCCAGGGCTTAATAGTATCTCTTCCCCCCAAAATGAAACTCTTGGAAGTGGAAGAAGAAAGGAAATGCGACAACACGTGGATTTAACCCGCTGGTCGCCGATCCGTGGGAGAATGTTCCTGACCTCGGGGGCGGCTCCGGGCGGTTCACTTGTGATCTGCACTTCCCCACCCCGGCATCCGCGCCCCATCCAGGCCCCGGCCCACGTGCCCGGGTCTCACCTTCGGTGTGCAGTCTGCCGCAGCCACAGCCGCAGGCACAGGGCCCCCGAGGCTGCAGGAGGCCGGGCAGCTGAACTGACCCCGTGC